CTATAACCAAGATGAGAAAGCATATATTGTACAAAAATGAAGAATGATGTAAAAATATATAAAATAAAAATAAAAACATGAAAAAAAGAGGACAAAATAGGCAGATGTTAGCACACCTCCAGCCTTTCAGAACCCATAGCACATCACTTGGCAGACCACATGATTGAATGGACTGTTTATAAACTAGAAGTAAACAAAAATACATTAAAAACCTTTTTTTTTTAAGCTGTAATTTAAATATTACACCTGGGTTTACCTTGGTTGATGACCTAAGATTGATTGTTTAAATAAAAGGAGAAAACAAAAGTAAACTCCAAAGACTTAATAAAGGAAAAGAAAGCTTTAAAATATCAAAAGAAAAAGGTCTTTTTCGTGGACAATAATAACACCAGAGGCCATGATGCTTATGGGTGGGTCTGGGATGCATAACAGATGATTTATAGATCCAGAAACTATTGGTGGGCGTGGGTAGAAAAGAAAAAGGTGAGGCAAAAACCTCACTTTTCATGACTAGAAAACCAAAATGCCAACAGCAAGCTTCCAGGTAAGAGGCTCCACAAGTTTGACTCACAGTTTGGGAAGCAGTGGTCTCAGATGAAAACATTTAAGGCTGCAAAATTTGAAACCACCTGGAAAATGAATGCTTCCTGTTCTCACAAGTTAATTCAAAGTTACATTATTTTCAAAAGATAGGAATTACTTCCAGTAAAGGAAGAAAACAAGAAAAATGTCAAGGGGTCTGCAGTAGGGCACCACCCTGGTCATTTATACTCCCAAAGGGAGAGTCTTCTCAGCTTAACCCAGATGGTCAACATATCTTGCTGTTGTAGGGTATCTCTAAAAAGACAAGCTGAAACAAAAATCAATAATTCATTTAAAAATAACACAAATATTGGGCCTCCCCTGGTGGCACAGCGGTTGAGCGCTGGGTTGAGAAGCTGCCCACAGCCTCTGCAGCGCCGGTTCCATCCCCAGCCACCGGCGAGTGTCCCACATGGTGCGACAGACCTCTCCTGCCATGCCCACTGCTCCCCTCAGCAGTGTATTTCGTCAGTCTGTCTGTTCTGTTCCCTGCTCTGGCTCTGGTGAATTCTCTCACCCTCCCACACTTGTGACTCTACCCAGTGCTTGTATAAATAAATAATATTTAAAAAAATATATAACACAAATACCAGGTTGAAGAATCGCCACACAGCTTTCCGTAGTGGTTGGACCAGTTTGCACTCCCACCAGCAGTGCAGGAGAGTTAGGAAAAAGATTAATTATAATAAAGTAAAAATCTAAATCAACAAGCAACTATAAACCAGAGACACAATACAGGGGGCAAGAGGGATTAGGATGAAAACAAGGGGGGGTGGGAATTTTATGGGGACTGTAACCATGATAAAAATGCATACATTGTGCAAAAAAAGAAAAATGATGTAAAAATATATAAAATAAAAAAGAAATATAATAGTATACTGTAATAAAAGTTATGTGAATGCAGGAAAAAATAAAAATAACACAAATAAATTGACTTAATGAAAGTGGAACAAAGCAGGGAAGATGTATATGAAGTCTTGTGGATAGTCAAAGAGAGAGAGAAAGGAGCACTGTGAAAAGAGAATTTCAACTTTGGCTACAAAAGTGTGTTCCCCAATACACGGATTACAGCATGATTTTACTTTTCTGGATCTCTTGCCTCCAACTCAATTTTCATGTGTAGAATTCCAGCATATGGGTGTCTTATGTCTAATTAACAGTTTTCTACCTCTATTTATCATTTTCATAGACCTTATGCTGGCTAACACACTCAAAAAGCCTTTGACTTTTCCCTCAAATTAGGGTATTTGATAAGGAATTCCTGAATTATTAAAAAATAAATAACGCAAAAAAAAATGATGTGGATGGTTGGTAGTTATGACTTTAAAACTTACCAGTCATTTATATCGACATCTTAATGAGTCATTTTTGTTGAAGACAAGCTTATATTTTTTAAATGGTTTACTTTTGGTGGGCGGGAGGAGATGTTGAAATAACAACCTACTATTGAGAAAAGAAAGTAAGACTATCTCAAGAAAAGAAGTTCAACGTTGCCAGACCAAAATGCATACTATGCACTGATGTTTTAAGATAACAGAAAATAGTTTCCCAGTGAGTATATTTCTACAGAAGCAACGAGGAAAACATGAAGTTACAATGAAAAAAGCAATGAACCACCTCCCCCACATTCCTGGCACAGGCTCACATATATAACTCTATATGCATTTGAGAGACTTTTACAAATACCTTGAGGACACAGCTACATTGTGTGTATGTGAGTGTGTTTATTTTGAGAGAACGCTGGAAATGGAATCTAAGATAGCAAGAGAAAGAGGAAGAAGAGTAAGAGGTGGATGTTGGCTAGAGGTTTACTCTGGGGACAGTAAATTATTAATCATTTACAGAATTTTGAGACAATGGAGAGGGAGTCTCCATGCTGATGTGATGGCCCACCATGTTTTTACCTTGGCTGACTACAATATTAGGGGCTCTTGTCTAAAAAGAAGGAGAAAGCAAATACAGATTTCCCAAAGTGAAGACAATCAAAAAGAGTCCCTGTAATGGATAGTGCTTGAGAATCACCCCATTTTCCTTTAGTGTTCGGTTAGTTAACAGAAGACTTTTGGTTGACGTAGCTAAAGGAAGGAGATCTTTTGGGTTTATGAGGGATGTTGATTCCTGAGTGGAGGGCAAGAAAGAATGTCAGTCAAGAAACTTCTAATGAATGCAAAGAAGTTTTGGGGAAGACAATCTCCCTGAATAGGGGGTTCCAGTGGCTAGAACAAAGGTTGATGGAATGGTGAGTTCTGATTGCAAAAAGATGGTGTTGCCATGTTTTCTCTAGCTAACTGCAGAGGTATTGTCCTCCATAAAAAGATACTAATTATTTCCTCTTACCAAGAAAGGAAAACAAAACAAAAGTGCAAATCAAGTAAAACTGGAGGTGGCCACATCCAGCACTATCACTCATTGATTCTTTCATCTGACTACTTTAATTTCTGAAGACTGAGTTAGTATTTAGCTTTTTTTTTTCATAAGGGCCCATAAGGTGCAGTAGGCAAGCCCAAAAGGGACAAGGCTGCCCAGACGAAGGTTTACTTCCTTTTTTTTTTTTTTTAAAGATTTATTTATTTTATACAAGAACCGGGGTACAGGCCAGGTGTGTGGGAAGGTAAGAGGATTCACCAGAGACAGAGCAGGGAACAGAACAGGCAGACTGATGAAACACACTGCTGAGGGGAGCAGCGGGCGAGACAGGAGAGGTCTGCCTCGCCACGTGGGACCCTCGCCGGCCGGCCGGGATCAAACTGGTGCTGCAGAGGCTGCGGACAGCTTCATAGCACGGCACTCAACTGCCTGGGCCATCAGGGAAGGCCCTAAGGTTTATTTCTTTATGCTAAGCAGTTGCAGTCCTGCAGGGAACTCACACTGCAAAGGGTAAAAAAACAAACAAACAAACAAAAAAAACCATAGAAACAACTACAAAAAATAAAACAAGGTGCCCGCAAGGTGGCCTTGGCTAGTGTCTCAAAGAGCTGTTCACTGTTGGTACATGCCAACAGCTCACAAAAACCACAGCCTCTGCTTCTCCGGCACCACCTCCTGGTGCTATTGAGTCTGCTGCTGTCTGGTTTGGTGTCTGTCCCAGCCTTCAGACTGCTGCCGTGGGCTGTTGCACTGTCACCTGGTCTTCCATGAGTAGCCTTTGTTTGGCACTCTGGACACTGGACACTGTCCAGGGTGAAACAGCTGGCCACTTGTGGCCTTAGAAACTCTTTCCTTTTCCCCAATATCCTGTTTGTTGAATAAACCCTGCTGTTCTTAGATCCCGACCCCAAGTGCTCTTGCAATTGTGCATGCAGGTGAGAACCCACTGACAGTGACCTGTCCCTGTCCTTCACACTGTTGGCCCTGTTGTAGCACAGTTTTAAGCACTCTTTTACACTGTTTTAAGTATTCAACCACATTGAGCCCTCCCAACTGCTCATACTTAAAATTGCAAAGCCCAAGTTGTTCTGTAGGAGGGTTCCTTGGCCTAACCCCAGGGATAAAGTGTGCTGGTACTTAAAGATTAAAGAACACTGGTGAGAACAATTTTAAGTTTTTAGAACCTACAGCGGTTCACCTTGGCTGATGAGACAAAGGAGATATTTTTTAAACAAATAAAGAAAACAAATATTTCCAAGACTAAAAATATAGCAACAAAAATTGTCGGTTCCAGGAAACACACATGACAGCCATCGTTCCTTTGTGTGATGCCAAGAACCATGGAGCAAACTTGATGGTTTGAGTATTTCATATGGCAAGGCCTGAGGAATCTCTCAGGAGTACTGATTCCTGTGTGCATGTGTGTGTGTGTTTTGGGGGTGGGGGTGGTAGTGTAGTGGGAGTAAGAGGGAATTTAGCCAAGAAGCAAGAAGTTGGCAAGTCAAGATACAGAAGGCTTCCTAGGAAGGTTAAGTCTATTAGAGGATCCCCTGGCTAGACACAGGATAGGGTGACTCTCAGGCCCAGAATAAGTAGCTATTGGTGAGTAAGTTTCTTAATTTTTTTGATCTGTCTTGAATGTGTGCTTTGGCAAAGATGAAATAGTCATCCTCTATTAAATGACTTTCACTAAAAAAGGAGCAGAAAGAAAGTAATTGAACAATAGGAAAAAAACATTGCACTCTACTTAAAAACTCACTAAAATGGGGGTTTACTACACTGAAACCTACAAAGATGTTTTTATTTCCTGATTATGTGTTTTGTTTGTCTCTTGTGGCAAGCCTACCAATAGTTTATTCTCAGTGATGTAATGTTTTTTTGAGGGCTTTGTAAATTCCCAAGGGGAACTATGTATGCCCAAAGGACAAAAACAAATGACAGTATGAAAACTCAAGGTTCGGGTAGGGGTTGTGGGAAGCAGAGGCATATATACAAGTGGTTCAATAAACCTTACATTTTCTATAAACTTCACACATTGTATACTTTGACAGACACATTGAATTGCCAATTTTTGTGGAAATTGCGTGGAATAAGGGAACGAACACCTGGAGACTGGAATTTTCAAATCTCACAAAGGGGAAAATCAGGTTATATGCATCAAGGATCAGCTGTTCTTCTGGGAAATATGAAGAAAAGTTGATGCAAGTCATAGTTAAAGGTACAGTCCATCTGTGAGTATAAAAAAATTGATTGTCATCTCTTATTTTGAGCTAAAATGGAACCTCTGAAGGGGCAGCTGTTGCTTGGAGTTACAACCCACATTTTAATGGTTTCTAGCCAAGCTCAGGCCAGATGACCTTCAGGACAATTGGCCCATTAATCAGCAGATGCCTCATGATTATTTGATGTCATTCAGCTCTCTATTTTCACACAAAACTCTATTATTAGCCTTATTTTTATCAAAGAGCCACAGGCACTAAGCCAGCTCTGGACAACCTGAATATTTCATTTACAGGAGGATGTTGTTCTGCAAGTGAGGGAAGCCACTGAGAACTGAAGCTGGCGGTGGAGCAGAGAGATGAAAGTGGGCATGCATGTCACTGGTGGACTCCGAGCTGAAGCAGCTAGTTTTCCTGCTGCTACCCTGGCTGGTGACTGTTCTTCCCCAAAGGCAATGTTCATAGAGATCAGAGATCACTTGACAGAAGGACCCAGGAGCAGCCTGGGAACCCAGGTGATCAGATAAGGGCAACAAGTTTCCATCAGAAAGCTGGGTGTTACGTTAGTTCACAGGAACTGACTTTCAGAGAAGTTGATTGCAGATCTAGCAAGAATCTTCATTTTATACCGTCCCTTTTCTAGTCTCACAGAACAGACTTCAAAGACCTCCATTGGCCTTGACCACGCCAACTCTGGATAAGGTCACAGAACTCTCTTGGCAAAAGATGAGTTGAAGGAGGTTTAAAGGGTTGAGAGTCCTTTAAGCTCCATTCCATTTAAGTAGGAAGCAATATAAAAGGGCATTAGAAAAGGACTTGAGTTGTTGAAACACCACTTTACTTGTCCCAGGTGATTACATAGGAGCAGTGGAAAGTTTTGGAGACATGGCCTTGTGAATGTACAGGCAAGACTGATATTCCAGCGACCTCCTTCTCAGAGGGGGCCAGTCACATCCCTGGATAACCATAGGAATTACTCGTTAGTTCATTAAATTTACCGGAAAAATAAGAAAATATTTTAGTAGCACAAACTTAACTTATAAAAGCACACAAAACACCTTTTATCACTCCCAGAAGGAAGCACTGAATGGGCTGAAGGGAATCAGAATAATGTGGGGGATTAAAAGTGAAGAGGTACAGTGGACTATGGTAGAGGACAATGGAAATATGCTTTCGGGGGTGGGGACTAAGAGGGCACACAGTATGATGTGGTGTTTATGAGAAAGTTTAGAATGACAGAATCTGGGTACCGTTTCTTGCTCTCTAGGAAAACTTAGGCAAGGTTTTGACCCAACAGTGCATCAGTTTCCTCAGTTTTTGAGTTACCGATACAACTGTGCAGATTCCTCCTGGGATTGTTGGGCGGGTCAAGTTGGATAGCTTATTTAGATTCATTTAGCATAATGCCTTACACATAGCAAAGAATTAATAAAATGTGGCTCAGGATATTAGCCAAGGTAATTCTTGGACAACAGTTCTGGGGTACAGCTTTGGATGGCATGCAGGAAGACATTAAAACTTTGTGTCCTTAGAACAAACTTTCTGTATCCTCTGTCCATGAAGCCTTCGTGTGATGTTTCTTGAGTATTTATGGTAGGGCTTGGAGGCAAGTTTCCACTCTGAGTAGGACTAGGGAGGGTAATTGGACTAGCTCTGCTTTAGATGCAGTGACAAATATGCTCTTACTCCTTAAATTATTTAGGGTTATCTGTTCTTTGCTTTTAGAGGGCTACTTCTAAAAAGGAAAGGGAAGGCCTTGGGCCAAGCATAAAGAGGCCAAGGAAACCACTTGGTGTATCTAACTTTGTAAGACTTAGATCTTCATGGAGACTTAGGAGGAGGGTATCCTTGGACTTCCATATATACTTCTTCTATCCCTGTCCCTCTTGGTCACTATTTTTTTTTAAAGATTTATTTATTTATTTATCTATCTATCTATCTATCTATCTATCTATCTATCTATCTATCTATCTATTTATTTATTTATTTATTTATTTATTTATTTATACAAGCACTGCATACAGTCAGAAGCGCAGGAGGGTGAGAGAATTCACCAGAGCCAGAGCGGGGAGCAGAACAGGCAGACTGACAGTACACTGGTGAGGGGAGCAGTGGGCGCAGCCGGAGAGGTCTGCGTGCCATGTGTGACCCTCGAGGGCAGCCGGGGATCAAACTGGTGCTGCAAAGGCTGCGGGCAGCTTCGCAGCCCAGCGCTCAACCGCTGCGCCACCGGGGAGGCCCTCTCTTGGTCACTGTTCTTCCATCACATAGCTTGCCTCTTTTGAATAGCAGTTTATGGAGATAGACTACACATACCATTTCATTCATTCATTCATTCATATACCATTCATTCAACTATTTTTTTTTTTTTTTTTTTTGTGGTATTAAAGCAATAATTTGGATCTTTATTTTATTTATTTTTTTTTTTTTTGAATTTTAAATTTTATTTATTTTTTTTTTTTTATAAATTTTATTGTTATATTCCCCATACAATTGCAGCCCCCATTCTGACCCCAATCCCTCCCCTCCCGCCCCACCCCCCTAAAAGTGTCTCTGTTTCATAGTTTTTTGTTGATTTTGATTTTCACTTTCTTATAGTTATTCATTTTCCTGGTCCCTTATTTAAGTTTTCTAGATTCCTGCTATGAGTGAGACCATCTGGTATTTTTCTTTTTCTTTCTGGCTTATTTTGCTGAGCATGATCCCTTCCAGCGCCATCCATGTTGCTGCAAATTGCAAGTGTTTATCTTTTTTGAATGCTGAGTAATATTCCATGGTATATATGTACCACATCTTCTTGATCCAGTCATCTATTTTGGGCATTTGGGTTGTTTCCAAAGCTTAGCTATTGTAAACAGTGCTGCTATAAACATAGGGGTGCAGGTGTTCTTTGGAATTGATGTTTCTGTGTCCTTTGGGTAAATACCTAGGAGTGGAATTGCTGGATCATATGGAAGCTCTATGTTTAGTAGGTCCAGAAATCTCCACACAGCTCTCCACAGTGGTTGGACCAGTTTGCACTCCCACCAACAGTGCAGAAGAGTTCCTTTTTCTCCACACCCTCGCCAGCATTTGTTGTTGCTAGTTTTTTTAATATGTGCCATTCTCACTGGTGTAAGATGGTATCTCATGGTAGTTTTGATTTGCATTTCCCTGATGGCAAGTGATGTTGAACATTTTTTCATATGCCTGTTGGCCATTTGCATTTCCTCTTCAGAGAAGTTTCTTTTTAGCTCTTCTGCCCATTTTTTGACTGGATTATTTTCTTTGTTGTTGCTGAGTCTCATCAGCTCTTTGCAGATTTTTGTGATCAGTCCTTTATCATTAGTGTTGTGTGCAAAAATGTTCTCCCAGTTGGTGGGGTTTCTCTTTGTTTTTGTTATTGTCTCTTTTGCTGTGCAGAAGCTCTTTAATTTGATGTAGTCCCAGCTGTTTATCTTTGCTTTCACTATCACTGCTTTGGGTGATGTGTTTGTAAAGATGTCTTTGATGTGCAGATCACGTAGTGTTTCGCCTATATTTCCTTCTATATATTTTATGGTTTCAGGTCTTATGTCTAGTTCTTTAATCCATTTTGAGTTGATTTTTGTGTATGGTGTGAGGTAGTGGTCAAGCTTCATTCTTTTGCATGTAGCGACCCAGTTTTCCCAGCACCATTTATTGAACAAACTTTCTTTGCTCCAATGCATAGTCTTTGCTCCTTTGTCAAAGATTAGTTGACCATAAATCTGTGGGTTTATTTCTGGATTTTCTATTCGATTCCATTGGTCTGTATGTCTGTTCTTGTTCCAATACCATGCAGTTTTGATGATTATGGCTTTGTAGTATAGTTTGAAGTCTGGGAGTGTAATGCCTCCATTCCTTCTTTTTTTTCAGGAGAGCTTTGGCTATTCGGGTTTTTTGTGATTCCATATGAATTTCATCAATAATTGTTGTATTTCTTTGAAGAATGACATTGAAATTTTGATTGGAATAGCATTGAATCTGTATATTGCTTTTGGAAGGATGGCCATTTTAATAATGTTTATTCTTCCAATCCACGAGCAGGGGATGTCTCTCCATTTCTTTGTGTCTTCTTCTATTTCTTTTACAGTGTTTTATAGTTTTCTTTGTATAGGTCCTTTATCTCTTTTGTTAGATTTATTCCCAAATATTTGATTTTTTTTGTTTCAATAACAAAAGGGATGGTTTTTTTTATTTCTTCTTCTTCAGATTTATTGTTTGTGTATAGGAAGGCTACTGACTTTTGCATGTTGATTTTGTATCCTGCCACTTTACTGAACTGATTGATGAGTTGAATTAGCTTTTCTGTGGAGTTTTGGGGTTCTCTATGTATAATATCATATCGTCTGCAAATAGTGATAGTTTGACTTCTTCTTTTCCTATTTGGATTCCTTGGATGTCTTTCTCTTGTCTTATTGCCCTGGCTAGGACTTCCAGTATTATATTGAAAAGCAGTGGTGAGAGTGGACATCCTTGTCTTGTTCCAGATCTTAATGGAATTGCTTTCAGCTTTTCACCATTGAGAATGATGCTGGCTGTTGGCTTGTCATAGATGGCCTTTATGATGTTGAGGTATGTTCCTTGTATCCCAAGAATTTCAAGGGATTTTATCATGAATGGGTGTTGCACTTTGTCGAAAGCTTTCTCAGCATCTATTGATATTATCATATGGTTTTTATATTTCTTTTTGTTGATGTGTTGGATAACGTTGATTGATTTTCGGATGTTAAACCATCCTTGTGCCCCTGGAATGAATCCTACTTGGTCGTGTGAATTATCTTATGGATACATTGTTGGATTCTGATGGCTAAAATTTTATTGAGGATTTTTGCATCAGTGTTCATTAGGGAGATTGGCCTGTAGTTTTCCTTTTTAGTGTTGTCTTGTTCGGTTTTGGTATTAGTGTAATGTTGGCTTCATAGAACGTGTTTGGTATTGTCCCTTCCTTCTCATTTTTGGAAGAGTTTGTGAAGGATAGGCACTAATTCGTCTCTGA